AGATTTTTTTACCCGATACTTGTCTAACAATACTCGATACTACATTATTGATATTCTGAGATTCGTGGTTATCATCATTAATTTTCCATCCCAAATGTTTAGCAAATTCTTCAGCCATAGTTGAGAAGTCAGCACCCAGATCGATAGTAGCTTTAGTTGTCGTCGATGTTATGTTATAATATTTATTAATATGTGTTAAAATAGAAAATTTAAAAAATATGGATTGAAAATAACAATGCAGAGTCACTCTTCACCTTTATTCGTATTACCAGAACTACTTGAAATCATTTTTTCATATCTAGAAAAAGATAAATCGCTTTACCCAACTCTCTTTGTTAATAGGGTTTGGTACCACTATTCCACTCCAATTCTATGGAGTAAGATTGTATTGAATGGAGAAAAAAACCGTCATTTTACTTATCTGAATTATAATCTTAAACGGCTAAAAAGGTTTGTAAAAGCAATACGTAAAGAATCTACGCCTCTCTATGGTTCAAGCCTAAAGTATCTTGAAATTGCAAAATACCACAATCTCTCAAATAGAAAAATCAGAAAAATTATACAAGTATGTCCCAGTATAGTTCATCTAGATCTCAATTTTAGCAAAGGGTTCGGCAATACAGCCCTCATTAAAATCGCATATTCATATCCCAACTTAAAACATCTCAATATTCGTAATAATAAAGAAATAACTGATATTTCCATTTCTAAGATTGCACAATCATGTTATAATATGAAGTATCTAAATATTTCCTATTGTAAAAACATTACCGATAAATCTATTTATGAGATTGCAGAATCGTGCCATAGCTTAGAATTTTTGTATATTGCTGGATTAAAATATATTAATGAATCGATTGCACATTTATCCCCTAATATTCGGTATCTCGATTTGGCATTCTGTCATAATATTACTAACGGTGTAATTAGTAAAATAGCGCGATTATATCCAAATTTGGAATATATTGATCTTAGTGGATGTAAAAATATTACTGATGTATCTATTTGTGATATTGCGCATTATTGTCAAAAACTTGAGCATTTCGATATTTCTAGTTGTGATATTTCCGATTTAACTATAGAAAAAATTGCAACTTCATCTAATAATCTAAAATTTCTTAATATACAATTATGTGGGGGTATCAGCGAAAATGCGGTAAAAAAACTTAACTCGGACATTAAAGTAAAAGGTATTGATCGATTTGCCTGGGTAGTTCCACATATTTCCGGTTTGTCACTTTAACGGCATGGTTACTTATCATCGATCATTTACAAATTTATTTCATTTTATTAACGGGCCATTAACAGATCATTCCTTATATTATAGAAACTTCTATAGCA